ATTATTCAACCTTTCACAAGTGTACAACATAAATCAGTTCAATGAGCCTAATCCAAAATATTCTCATAAAAGACTCAATTGCAATTCTATCCTATTTTATAATATCCATAGAAGATTCACTTGAATTTTTATTTTGCCTTTATACTATATTATTTTATATGCTTATAGGTCACCATGCCTGTGACAATCATAAATGTATTCAATGGCACGAGTGGAACAGTACCTGCGTAAGAAATATTAGGAGTCCAAAGCAAATTTAGGCCTACTGTATATAGAATATATGAAGACCAAGATGTTGTGGCCTCTGTTATGGTCGCAGTCTCCCAACATCTGACAGTAGATTTGGTACCTTCTCAAACGTCAGACGCTGGGAATCATGACAACTACTATGGTAGATGACTTCGGACTAGGTGCGTTCTATATAGTCCCCTTGACAACAAGACCAAGTTGCGACCACGAGGTCAACCCACTTCTATAAATCGAAAGGAGACTAAGACCATACCAGAGGCCATAACATCTTTGTCTTCATATCTTCAATTAAACTAAGGTAGTAAAATTGCCAAACAATGCACTGAATACAGCCGGAAAAAGAAAATAATTGTAAGTCAGTCTTCCCATCTTTTATTTTTAAACTGTTGTAAGCGTTGTGGTATCCCTCCTAAGTTCTGTGACCTTAAGAGACCCTACCACTCGGAAAAAGTTAATGAATATCTCCACCAGGCTTCTATTCAGAAATTGAGTGAGGCATATAATACTGAATGTTATAAGTTTATAGATATTAAGTCAAAACCTTGGCGTGATTTGGCCAGGATTCTGTCTCCGGATTTCTGACTTAATAACAAAACGGCATGATGATGAATTGCGTAAGTTTGGGATTATAAGACAGCCTAAGTTAAAGTCAGTACGCCGAATTGAAGTGGCTTTTGTGGTGACAACACCTAGGAGGAAAGTATTAAACTCATCATCAATTCCTCTTAATCTTGAAACAACCGCGTTTCTGGAAAAAGGATTCAATTTTTCAATTCAAAATCACAGAAGCCTTCAAAGAGACATCCTGGTGGAGGCTTTTAATATCGTCGACAAGTTCCCTGAGGAGACAAAACAGGAAATGGAGATGGAACTAATTCCCAAGCTCGTGACACATTAGGAGCATACACACAGGAACAGATTTGTCGAAATACGCAAAACCATGGAAACGAATGAACAATTAGTCCTTCAGGCGGACAAAGGAGGAGCTACAGTTATAATGGAAAAAAAACAATATACCGAATAGATGGAAAATATTCTACGAGACAGGACCACATATCGTATACTAAACAAGGACCCAACTATGAAGATCAATGGAATCTTAAGTGGGATGCTGAAAGATATGCATAGAAATGGGGAAATAGACGCATGGACAATAAATTCAATCATAAGAAAGGATGTATGACCACCAACAGCATACGGATTACCGAAGATACACAAGGAAGGCGCGTCACTTAGGCTAATAGCCAACAACAAGTATGAAGCAACACACAAATGGGCAAAGTTTATATGTTTAAAACTTAAGAAATTAAATGGAGGCTATCAAACACAGTGAAGCATTCATATAAATTTTCTTAAAAAAACAAGAACATTGCACTGGAAGTAACTGACTTACTGGTAAGATTCGATGTGGAATCTATTTATACAAATGTCTCTGGAGAAAATGCGCTAAGGGCCCTTCTGAAAATCCTGGACTGGGAGGATGATATCCTGGAATCACAACGGATCGGTAGAGGGTCGTTAACAAGATTAATCAACTTGACAATAAAGACAAGCTTTTTTACATTCAACGGAAACATCTATGAACAAATATTTGGACTTCCCATGGGATCACCGCTCTCACCACTTTTGGCAAACGTATACATGAACAAAATAGAATAGAGCTTCGAGACGGCACCGCTACAACTGGCAGTGCTCATACGCTACCTGGATGATTACTTCGCACTTTGGTCACATAAAACAGAAAAGCTAGAATAGTTTCTGAAGTTTGTAAACCAGATTGATGTAAGAGTTCAATTGACGATGGAAGTAGAGGAAGGTGAGCAGTTACCGTTCCTGGACACTGTCTGATGCTGAAAATCATGACAACTACTACGGCAGATGACTTCGGACTAGGTGCGTTCTACATAGTCACCCTAACAACAAGACCAAGTTGCGACAACGAGGTCAACCCACTTCTTCTATATATACATTATGTATTATCTCACCTTCAAGCGTACTTGAACGGATTATTGGAGCTGCCACTTGCATGTAGGACCTGCGTAGTCTGTGCCGGGATATCCAGGCTTGCCATCAACTTAGTTAAAGTTATGCTTAGTTCTTTCTTCTCTTTCATCGTATTTCCAAATCCTATTTGTTTACCTCTTTCTAGGTCCTTTCAAATCATCAGATGGTCTCCATGTTTGCTTAGAGTACTGCAACATTTGAGCATTTATCTCTAGCTAGCCTTAAGCGAGGATAAATTAAGATATCATTTATGTCTGGCGAAGCATCTTCTCTAAAGTCTACTCCTGTATTGATCCCATACACGGGATTAGCATGTATCCTCCCTTCCAGCCAATACATTCGGGCCATCTGTGGAAAGGAATGCGGAGCTAGGAGCATTCAGAGGGGCAAAAACACGAGGCTGGAGTGCCGCGGGAGGCATGCGTCGGCACCTGCACTGATTGCCCCCTTTCTCCCACATCACGTACAGTGGGCAACAGGCGTGACTTTAGAAGGTATCCTTAACTAACTAGACACAACCATGCTGTATCATATCAGTCACCGCTAATTGGTAGATGTAATATGAACACGTGGTCGTGTGGTCAAGAGTCAGACGACTTGCCGTCATCTGGCTTTGAACTGATGATTAAGCAAAGCCTTTGTTTGGTGATCGAAGCCGCAGGCAAAATTGCTTTACATATGCTTATGTAATGGAAATATCTCATTATTTTTATAAAAGGGACAGAAAATAATTGAATTTTAATTCTTGCCTTTTATTGCCTTCGCTACCAACATCAGGTGGTTTTGGTATGCAGTTAGAAGGTAAAGCTTCACATGACCATGAAAATTGACCTGCTGGTGGCTCTCACTTTCACATGAAGGGGCTTAAATGCCAGATTGAAACTAGCAAAACTAATTCAGTTGAACATTTAACCATAATTATCTGCTGTTGAGAAGAAGTTAACGCAATTGGATAGCAAAATTATTTTTCGTATGTAAGTAGAGTTTCGAGACTACCAGTAAATCAGTAATATGAGACGAATTCAGCCAATTTCGTTTAATGTGATGAAGGACTGGTAGTAGAATTTTCCCACAATGATATGAGTGAAACCGGTGTTTGCATAAAATTTCACAGAGTCTTACTTTCCCAAAAGTTGTTCTCATCCCGGCTGGAGTGGACTGCAGTTTCGACCTCGCATGGGTCATATCAACACCCTCAGCGGGATTCGAACCATGACACTGCAGCATGTTATCTCGACACGTTGACCAGTAAGCCATGAGCGCCTTGGAGTCACACGAGAAAGGTAAATTTCAAGGAAGGCCATGTCTTTTCCCATATCACATTATTTGGTGGAATTGTCAATGAAGCAAACGTATTTTTGCTATACCAATAGACTACATTACTTATTTTTCTTGCATAAGTAGAGTTTCTCATATGACTGATTTACTGATAGTCCCGAAACGTTTCCATTTAATTTCACATAGCCTTGTTTTTCCAAAAGTTGTTCTCATCCCGGCTGGAGTGGACTGCAGTTTCGACCTCGCATTGGTCTTATC